TCTCTCTCTCTCTCTCTCTCTCTCTCTCTCTCTCTCTCTCTCTCTCTCTCTATCTATCTATCTATCTATCTATCTCTCTCCCTCTCTCTCTCCCTTACGCTTAAGACTTTTTTTTGATGAACTACGACTTGATTTTCTCCAGAGCACAAACCATCCTTTGTTTGTGACCGTCATAAAATAATCAAGAATGACGTCACATGAAACCTCAGTGGTTGGTTTGAGAGCAGACATGTTATAAATTAATTACTTGTATTGCTTTTATGTCTAAAAGCATATTACGGCAACTTCTATTACCTCCTGATCCACCCTCGTATATGTCCCTGTGGCTATTTGAATAAATCAACAAAAGATGCAATACCCCCATTACGATTTTGCCAAAGAAAGTTTAATTAGGACCTAAAGGGCTAATTTGATCATCTGAGGACTGCGTTACTTAAAGAGCACGTACTTGGTAATGTATCCTCTAAATTGTGTCAATGGATGGGCGCGTAAAAAACACATATAATTCTACTAAAATGGAACTAGAAATATTTATTTCTGGAACATAATATATATCGTTTAGTACTACTTCGAAATGTTTTGACGGTAGACATGGTGAAAAAAAACCTTCTGCACCCGTATCCCGGTTGTTGTCTCAGATAAAGCTTATTATAATGACTTTAGCGTAATTTTTCAGTGGTTTCGCAAGAAATAATTCTTCAGGTTCGATTATGTGGGTCTGGTACAGAGGCACCCCTCAATGAGCAAACGTAAAATTGCTGCGTGCTAACAAAATTACTTCTAGCAATTTTCTTGGCGACAGACTCAGACATTGTCGACAGGCAAGAGGGATTATCTCAGAGAGAGCGCACTTTTACACAAGTCCGGGTCTCTTGGCAATTGAGGGAACTTCAGGTATGTCCTGACTCAGTCTTGTTCTTGTAGCTATTACTTTTCTGTTGCTTTTTTTTTTTTGGTTATTGTTTTCTGTTGTTATAGCATTCGATTTTGGTAGCGTTGTTGTTGCTGGTGGTGGTGGTGGTGCAGCTGTTGTTCTATTGTTGTTGTTGTTCTTGTTGCTTTGTTATTATCGTTGTTGCTGGTGTCATCATGCAGGAACAGAGAGAGGGAGAGAGAGAGAGAGAGAGAGAGAGAGAGAGAGAGAGAGAGAGAGAGAGAGAGAGAGAGAGCGGAGTGAACAAAAAAGACTCACCAACAGACAGATAGAATGCACACGGAAAGCGAGAAAAACTACCTAATTTAGCTTACAGGCATGAGGAAGACAGAAAATGAGCAATAAGAGGAGATGGGCGATTATAAGACAGGTAGCAGAAGTAGGCAAATGGATAAGCTGACAACAAGACAGACAGAGAGACAGACGAACGCGTGGGCGAGAAGATGGATCGACAGACAAATGAGTTGCACACCAGCTGACAATAAAAGACATCGGGAAGTAGGGTGGACCTTTTTATAAGCCGGACCAGAGCTCAAAACAATAACTTAAACGATAAGTAGGCCTACAATTCAAGAAACAAAACTTCCTGTTACATCAGGTTTTCGAAAAGCTCACTTAATTTGACGTAGCTCAAGGATATAAGGATCACATTCGATCAAACGAAAGCACCAGTCTCATCATCATTTCTGGATGCCATGATGGAGAACTAGGAAGGTTTCATGAAGGGTGATTTGCAATATTATATTTCAAGAAATTGCGTTATTCTCTGCTCTGTGCTAAACACTTTGCGCTCTTCGACAGACAGCTTAACGATAACTCGTGTCGATGCTTAGGGAAAAAAAAGAAAAACGATTGAACAGTCATAACAAGCAATTACGTCGTCGTACGACAAGATGTTCTTAAAAAATGGATTGTTTATGCCCCCATTCAGTGGACGCTGGAAGTTGCCGCATCTAAAGGTTAAAAGCTTTCGGTCTGTCTATGGGGATGAGATCGTTAGGGTAAAGTGGATCACTTAATTCCGACTCCTAATAAACTAGCAACGTCCACATGTCTGCTTATCTGTATGTCGTTTTGTCGGGGAGGAAATGAAATTCTGTAACTGCACGATTGCGTATGAATGCTTGCGCTTGAGATGCCTAAGAGAAAACAGAGTTTGCAGCAGTGGACTACGCCTGCGCGAGTGCTTGTGTCCACACTTGCACGTCCGTGTACACTCGATAGATGTCAGGGCCTGAGCCTGGATGGGCTCGGGGCGGGGGGGGGTGGAGATTTGTACTTCATTCTTCCCAGAGACCAGCAAGAGCAAATCATTTTTGTGAATTAATTCCAGATTGCTATATAATACGGTTCTTCTCAGCCCGATATCAGCACGACAGCGATTAGCGCGGTTGTGGAGTCTGACAATTACCAACTTTACAGAAATAGTATTCTTTAGAAAAATCGTTTGAAAGTGTCAAGAAGAAATTTTGTTCTTTATTTCGCTTCTGAGAGTTCCTCCATTGCAATCTGTAGAATCGTTATTTTCCACTCAAATTAATTATTCTTTGCATTTATTTTTTTATTTATTTAAAGGGGACGGGGTAAAAAAAACCGTGCTTTGATATAAGAGTCTTCCTCATTTGTTTTATTTTGAAGGAACGGCCAGTTTAAAACATATACTTTATTGGAACAGGATCCATTCATCCTTTCCCAAATTAATGTGGGACGGATAGAGAACCAATCAGGTGAAAAAGCTTTTCACACTCAATGGACATCGGACTTCATCGTTTCCGAAACACCTTGTTATCTAAATACCAGTCAAACCGGCGTCTAAGTTGTTTTCGATCTGCACACATAAGATACCAGTTGGACTCCAGAGCTGGAAAGTTTTCCTTGTTGCTTTTTTAGACTAGTATAACCGTGTGTCTGCTCGGATGCTGTTTCCCACTTAGCCAGGTTTGGACCTGACAGGTAGGGTCGAAGTAGCCTGCCGCCTTGCTGATCTAAATCGTGTCAATACGGTCGTAAGAAAAGTACAATGAACTCTAGATATATAGTAACCATGTATCTAAGTACAAACACATTAAGTTACCAAACACTTCTGGCTAAACACATGTCCATAGATGTTCTCACAGGTCTAAAATTAGGAACGTTCTGTAGGCCATCAGGTGTTCTCAGCCCATCATTTTGAAAATGTCTAATACTGTATTTTCTTCATCTCTGGTATCAGATGCACGTGCTCAAGATATATTCTGTCGTAATTTAAATTATAGATGTTAAAAATATTTTGTTTAAATAATAATAATAAATACAGTGTGATAATGTGTTACTTTTTAAAAAGAAAAATCAAACTTTTAAAAAACATTTCACTTTAAAAAGTTTGCTTTTTTGGGCTCCGAACATTTGAAGAGCTTGCCGATAATACACTTGTGGCTGCAACAACTAAACATGCTACTGTTGGAACGAAGTGGGACCGCAATACAATACCTCGTCAGCTTACCTTATGATGAGATACAGGACGACGAAGCAGATGACGATAAAGACTGAAAATACCACAAGGCCGATTTCCCACTTGGTTACTGAAAAAAATAAAGCAAGGCTATAAAACATGGTTTCAGTGCTTTGCACAATCTATTTACTATTATATTCATAATCATTATTGTTATTTTATGGTTATTCTTATAATATTTTTCTATCATGATTACTATTATAGTTATTCTAGTTGCCCTAGAATTATTATCATTTCTACTACCATTACTATTGTTTTTGTAGCTGGTACAGCTGGTGTTGTTACTACTATAGCTCATCCAACTAAAAAACGTCATGGTTTTTTTTTCAAGATGACTTTTGCCTGCCAGCATTGGGTTTTTTTTTATCAAACTTTCACCAGTAGTCTTGTAAAAATGTATCTTTATAAACTTAAGCAAATAGTTCTGGTCCGAGTATCAGAGCGCTGAACTAATGAAGAAACATTGTTACTGTTTGAATTAATTCTTGTTCATCGATATCACAATTAACCGATATCTTTTTGGTAGTATGTACCCTTGACGTTCTTTAAAAGCCATCATGAGCAAAACACGATAGCAATCCGTCCAAAGGAAAACTCACAACTGGTTCAATGTGAATTTCCCAATTAGGGTATTGTATGTGATTTGAGGATATCAATCGAAAAAAGACGAAAGTAAACAGCGTGTATCGACGCTACCTGAGGTTCAGCGAACTCTAAGAAAATTTCAACTCATCGGACGGCTGCATCGAATGACGTCATTTGGCGATGAAGAAAGACTAACGGGTGAAAATTGCCTTATTTGCATACTATCAACCGTGCGACACGTGGAAATTCCCCTGGTGTGCGTGGAGCCTTAGAGGGCGTACGTTTCCAAGCATCAACAGACCAAAATTGATACTAAGTGCCCGCTGTCACCGACCTAACACAGAAATTAACTGTGCACGAATGATTTACTTTGGGTGAGAGGGCAAATTCGAAATGTTACAATACTGGTATTAGCGCAAATCTCATGTACAATCTGATTAAGGGACCAGATTTTGTCTAACATAGTACAGGACCCGTCTCACTTAAAAACTAACTTTTAAAATATTTTCCGAACTTGAGCCTGCTGTTTCTGTAATGCTATTAACTTGGTCGTTCTGCTGTGCAAAAAATGGAAATCGAAATATTAAACACCATTTGGTTCATTTGAATCTATACAGCATATCACATGTCGTGAGACAAAGGTGTCAGGGGAAGGGCTGACTTGTCGTACCTCAACTTTTCAGCTTCGCTTCATTGAACGCAAGTTGCAAATTTGAATGCGTTTTTGTGGACGACTTTTATTTTTTTTGGGGGGGG